GTGGTAGAACGTCCGCCAGGAGAACGGAAGGTCGGGGGTTCGTTACCCGGGCGCCTCATACCGAAATACTTAAAAGATGGCGCTTGTTTTACCCTGCCTGAGGCTCGGCATTAAGGGGCTAAACAAGGTCTGGACGGCTCTGGGTCAGTGGGCTAACACTATTAAATCAACATAAGCCCCCCCCCCCCCCCCCCCCCCCCCCACGCACTTCACTGCTTCACCTGATCTTAACACCCACTGACAATATCAGGCCCTCTAATGAAGGATAATGTTGACAAGTTGCAGCATGGATATACTGCCCGTTGGAAGCACACGATCAGCGGGACAGTTGAATCTACCCCATTCTACTATAAACAGTTTAATAGGCAGTATTAACCAGTGTATGGACAGACAGGGTTCTCTCAACGAGTATTATTTTCGTATTAACATGTTACAATATATGATGTTTTTCTTTGAAAAAATATACACCGGAAACATTCCGCATTTCCTTTGCACAAAACTATATATTGGCTCTGCATTCTGTGTCATAAAATACATATTTCAAATATTAAAATACAAACTTGCCACAGTAATATCTCATTTCCTGATCATACTTGAACAATCCATTTCAGTGATTTCCATCTCTTTTATTTTAAACATTATTAGATAGGCCCCAATTTTATGCTTGCATGGTAACCATGGTCGGTGGAAAATATAGTAAAGCGTCCATGGTGGACTTAGGGCAAAGGCAAGTGGTGTTGTAGCGACTTGAATCAAATGTGTTTGATGCCAATTTGTGTGAGCATAATTTCCTTAATCTACATTTATTCTTTTACCAATTGAAAACAATAAGATATAGAAGGTTCTGATTTGCAAAGAATGGGTTGCCTCAAAAGTAGCAACTTCGGTTAGCTCTGAAAATGCGGATCCGGAACCGAATAAAGCATAATTAATTATCGGGGTGATAACTTGATCATATTCTTATGTGGTCTTATCACAATTCCATTTAGTGTTCAAGTAGTCTTTTCATTCAATGTTCACGTAGTCTTTTCATTTAGTGTTCATGTCGTCTTTCCATTTTGTCTTTTCATTAAGTGTTCATGTAATCCTTTCATTTAGTGTTCACGTCGTCTTTTCATTTAGTGTTCACGTCGTCTTTTCATTTAGTGTTCACGTCGTCTTTTCATTTTGTCATTTCATTTAGTGTTCACGTCGTCTTTTCATTTAGTGTTCACGTCGTCTTTTCATTTTGTCATTTCATTTAGGGTTCACATAGTCTTTTCATTTAGTGTTCATGTAATCCTTTCATTTAGTGTTCACGTCGTCTTTTCATTTAGTGTTCACGTCGTCTTTTCATTTAGTGTTCACGTCGTCTTTTCATTTTGTCATTTCATTTAGTGTTCACGTAGTCTTTTCATTTAGTGTTCACGTCGTTATGATGACAAACAATCAGCCACGTCACACTTGAAAAACCAGCCGATCCCATAAATCAGATCTTCCAATTGGTTTGATGCCGCTTTTAGCAATATTCCAGCAATAACACGGCACCCGTGTTGGGAATCGGTCCCGGGTCCATGGCATGACGAGCGAACACCTGAACCACTAGGCTTCCCCTCCGCCCCTAGATCCGACATTCGTGGAGTACTGATCACTATCGTTGGCTGAGTGGTGGTGACCTTTTATGGTTCATAAACTGGGTACATAGATGGCAACAACGCCAGGGTTTAACGCCACTTTTAACAGTAATCCAGTTATATCGTGGCATTAATCCAGTTTTATCGTGGCGTGCCAGCTCAATGTGGAAGGAAAGCCCGAAGTGATGCAGGTCGCAGACGTTTATCACTTTGGTGAAACCCAAGAGTACTGGTATGGTGCTGGCAAACCAAGAAACATAATCGGGGCGAACCGAGATTCGAACCCACAATTTTAGATTCCTGGCGAATCGCAGCGCCTTAGACGACCGCCCCTCAATAGAAGTCATTCTGACTGGGAACAACATCTGCATATTATCAGCTTCGACAACGCTATCTATTATGCCAAATCATCTCCAACGATAAGTAAATATCGAATTAATGGAGCGTTACTGTATTAGAAATTAGTGTAATTAGTGGCTTAGAAGACTTAGAAGAATTAGAAGACTGTATAATATTTATGATTCAGAAAGGTCATCTTACTAACGCGATATCCAACATATTATAGCGGACACAAGGAATCGGATCCCATTCCAACCCTGAAGTTAAACATGTTAATGACATGCAATCAGCCAAGTCACCGAGCCTAACCACGCAATCCATTTATTCGCCTCGGACGACAAGCTAATGTTGCCGGGGAATCTCTGAATCCCCAGGGGCAGTTAACCATGGGAACCACCCACCGTATTCATACCTCTCCCTGGGGACAAGGTGTTCAGATAAGTCCGAGAATTTCAATTTCAGATGCATGTAGTTATGTCAAAATAGTTTAAAACCATAAGATTCCTTTATAATATCAGACCAAGGTAAATATTCGTTTCACTCATTGCTTCACGGGTTTGTGGAGGAACCTTGGGGGCGGTGCAGTAGTGGCGTGTGTCAACTCAACCCATTAAATGAGGCCGTGTTACCCCATAGAAGTAAAAAAAGCCCTACTGAAGCAATGTGTGGAGTACATGCCCGTAAGATAATTTTACATGCTGCACGGTAAATATTGCCGATTGTGCTATGTCATCTCTGAGCGCCCATTGGTCATGCTTTCCCTCTTGCTAGAAGCAGGTCGCGTCTTGATTGGTCGGTTTATAATAGTAGCTACTCCCAAAGCGGGAGCATGCATTCACTGGTAAGGGGGGAACAAACCAGTGATGTTTTGACGAAGGATGAAAGGCTGAGCTGACTTACTGTAATGACGAAGTCTCCATCTCTGTAGGTGTCCACGTCCCAGTGCATGACGACCCCGTTCTTGTCTTGAGTCATCTGCTCGATGAAGTGCTCGTTCCGTGAAGACATCAGGCTCTAAACAAGTCGGAACGACGTTGATGAACATAACGTAGATACACAGATGACTTGACCATAAGTGCAAGATGTTCAACACTGTTCCGCTAGCGAAGAAGGAAACCTACAGCTAAACAAATATGTGGTGTTAGCCCACTTTTGGGTCATGTGAGAATGACCTTCAATCCGATCAGAGTGTCGGCAAAGTGATAACTGGAATGTGATTTCTAATCCTGTAGCATCAGAAATGTTAACATTGGGTATTCTGAACGACAGTTACGGTCTGTACGACTCATGCCGTCAAAATCATCACCCATCTCTCGCTTCAATGGGATAAACATTCAAAACAGAAGAGACTTTCCACACCATCTTGCAAACTCGGCATCTATTAAACCTTCAAGTTTCTTTAGTTTAGTGTTCAAATTTTGAATCGATATTTTTCAGAGCTAGTCTGGAATGGAAGTAGCCGGTTTAAAACTAGTGCCGTAAAGCTCGTGAAAGCTGCTTTCCGACTGGCTAATGTTGACTTATTGTAAGTAATTTAATTGGTCAATCAAAGTTCGCGAAAGGCCTTTCTGACGTGACCTGTATTGGGATGTCCTCAGATCTCATGTATCGGTAGCGAGCACTAAGATCTAATTTTAATAAGATTGGAATCGACACGTTTGATTAGGCTGTCCATTTGAATTAACGTTCCATGTGTCTGGGCAACGTATTTCGATTTTCCTCCAAATTGACAGGTTTCTGCTCCTATTGCCTACAGTTACATCAAACCAAATCCGTAGTTCAGGGCACAGAATTGCAAAACGTTTATCCCTAAATCGTAATTTCTCTGTGACAGTGTACCCTGTCCACGTAAAACCAAAATGTTTGGTACTTGATGTTATCCTGGCTGTCACGCGCGTGCGCACACATGCACGCACTGGCGCACACACAGGAACAGACACAGGCAAACACACACACACACACACACACATGCACTTTCATGTAAGTACAAAAATCGCAACGTTGACCCCCATTTCAACTCATCTAGAACTGTACAAAATCGACCCAGTGATTGACGGAGTTGTCTTCCGTTTGATATTAACTGTAGGGCACATAAAATAAACACCTTGAAAGCGGAAGTCTTGACAAAACGAAACAAGGATTACAGTTGTCTGTCAGGCGAAGGACACTCTCTCGCGCCCTGTGTTCAAACCATCGGCACCAACTCAGGTACGGGGTGAACTGTTCGCACAACTGTGTAGCAGTATTTACCAGATTTAGTACTGTACACTCAGTTGTTGACAACACAGCCACACCCTGTTAGATATACAACTGCAGATATTGTAACAGTAATTTGTCAGTCAGTCAGTATCACATAGATCAGGTGATACGTAACACAGCTGCCGACTGTCCCGTGATTACGCGTGTGACTGTGTGTGACTGAAGCCATATTGAAGTGGAAGTAAACCATGTTTGGAATCCACAGAGTAAATCGTTACAAGGAGTTTGTATTAGACTCTAGAGTTGTGTCCCTTTGATGATCTTGTGCAAGTCAAAACATGCACCTGACTTTATACGTTCATTGTGACTTGAGTTGTAAACATTTATGGTTAGTGGCTTAGTCTTTGTCCCGCATATTTGTGCTTTAAACACTGAATAGGGTTGACTGTTAAAGGGCGGAAATGTTATTTTGTTCGATTGAAATTGTGAAGTATGACACTTGAGTATGGGTAACTGGACAGTTGTTGGTTTCATCTGAACATATATCCAGATGTCGACCCTCACGCTTGCAAGGGCATCTTCATCGAGGGTAAGAAAAACCATTATAGGTGACCGGCACTGTGAACACCTCAACTTGCCAAGCTGAGTTGTAGTTGTGGCTGTAGTTGTGTACCTCTCGGCGACTATATGTCATATAGATGTTGTTTTTGTTGTTGGTGTTTTTGTTTGTTTGTTTGTTTTGTTGTTGTTGTTTGTTTGTTTTTTGTTGTTTGTTTGTTTTTTGTTGTTGTTTTTGTTTGTTTTGTTTTGTTTTTTTGTTTTTTGTTTTTTTTGGGGGGGTTGGTTTGCTGTGTGACTGGCTGAACAAAACGATACCCGAAGTTAACGATGATAACAGAGTTGTGTCCCTTTGATATTCATGCTCACCATCTGCACTTCAGGCATCTGATTCACTTTATATGTAAGACACTTGAGGTTTGTACATTTTAATGTTTAAAAGTGTGTCAAAAGTCGTCTTTGGGTATTCATTTTTAATAGGATTGACTGCAAAGTTGCGTGACATATAATTGTATAGACTAAGATAGTGATGTTTGACACGTTACTGGATAGTTGTAGATTTCATCCAACATAAGGTATGAGAAACTGATATCTGACCTACGAAGAAACTACCTCAATTTGCATTTATCGCTCATTTTCAGATAGGCGTGTATCCATATATATATATATATATATATATATATATATATATATATATATATATATCTATATCTATATCTATATCTATATATATATATATATATATGTGTGTATTTATATATATATGATTTATTAGTTATATATAGAACCAAGGTGTTTGTTAGCAATTAAACCATTGTTGCTCAAAAGTGATTTATAAGTGCCTTTGCAAAGGGCAAAACAGTGATTAACATTATGTGAATGGATTCCTGAAAACACCATGCAAAGTGTAGCTGATTCTGTAGGTTTTGATGTAAAACAAGTGAATTTTAATACTCATGCAGTTATTATCGAATAATGGAATTGTTATCTATATTAAAGGTTTAAATCATCTACTCACGGCTTTTATCTGTATATTCCTTTATTGTCAGTTCCAAGCTTCGCAATGTCCGGTGAGAGCCGAGAATCTGGATATGTGGACAACTGGCAGTCAGGGAACACTGTCACAGAGTGTAATCTGCGTATGCTCGACACGGAAGACTTCTGTGACGTCACTTTCTTGTTGGGGTCAGAGAAACAGGTGGTCCGAGCTCACCGCTACGTTCTTGTCAGTCGCAGCTGTGTCTTCCATGCAATGTTCTGTGGCCCCCTGGCGGAGAAAGGGGAGGTAACCATTCCTGAAATTGCGGCAGACATCTTCAAAGAGTTCCTGAGGTTCGATTAATCTTTTAATTTTACAAAACAATCAACTACCCAATGACAAAACACCTTCCATTTTTCTTTGCGTGATATATACCAATGTCTCGAAGTCACTTGGCAGACGGAAATGTATTCCTCCACAATGAGGGTCAATTTAATATGTCCTTGAAGTGTTCAGTCATCCTGCGTCATCAAGGTAGCCTAGTTGTATCTGTATACATGACTACCCGACCAAGCACGTCTGAAGTAAGAATATCATGTAGGTTAACATATAAAGGTTACAATAAACGTCCTCACTACAGAATAACCAGTATGAATTATCCCATGAAACAGATTCCATTGGGTGTAAAAGTGGCGATGTAAATGGATCACTGAAATGTCTGAACAAGTGACATATATAAAAGACAACCTAACCTGATTGTGCTATTTGGATTTGAATTAAGTTGAAACCTTGGTTTTAATTAATCGTAACATTGTATTCCTACACACTGTTGTAGGTATGTGTACACAGACAAGACTACTATCAACACTGAAACAGTCACAGGACTGATGTACACCTCCAGAAAGTATTCTCTAGATGCATTGTACGATCTGTGTGTAACGTTCCTGGAGACGTCCCTGTCAGAAGACACTGTCTGCCAGATCCTGGAGGAGTGTCATGGTTACGGGGAGCTGGACCTGGAACAGAAGGCCCTGACGATCCTGACTGAAGGAGGGGAGAGTGTCATCAAATCTCCAGGATTTGAAGGTCTTTGTCCTGACTGTCTGGAAAAGTTCCTTAAATCAAACACTCTGAACCTGAAAGAGACAGACATATTTGAAGCAGTCGTGTCGTGGATAAAGGAGCGGTGCAGGAAGGAAGGTGTGAGTGACACGCCTGAGAACAGACGGAGACTCCTGGGAGAGATGAGGTATGAGATCCGGTTTACCAGCATCCCCCTGGAGTTCCTGGTGAAAGTTGTAGGCCGATCTGGTGTGCTGACAAACAGTGAGAGAGTTCAGATAATTGACAGATCTGTTGACTCGACTGTTGATATTTCTCCATTTACAACTGTACAGAGAATGAAATCAGGCGTTGCTCAGATACAAGAGTCCTATATTTGCAAACATGTAAGCAGATTTCCAAAAATGCCAGATCGGCATTGGTATTTTCCACGCAGCAGGCATGCTATCTCGTTTTCTGTCACTCACAGCATTCACCTGAAAGGATGTCAGCTCTTCCGTGAAGAGAGTAATGAAGACATCCTACTGAGTATATGGGTGTATGACCAAAATAACACAGTGGTTGCTGCACCCTTAAGAAACACTTTGAAGTCTCTTCAAATGAACCAAAAGGTGACTGATGTCCTATTTCCCGAGTCTGTACTACTGCAGCCAAGCACAACCTACACTGTGTGTGTGGACCTATCTCCCGGTAAGTATTACAACAGTGTTAGAGGAAAGAAGACTGTAACCAGTAATGGAGTACAGTTCACATTCTCACACTCCCTACTGGACACTGCAGGAACATCACCACGCATTGGAAACATACCTGGCTTGATATTCAGCATCCCAAAACAGATGTAGTGTGTGAATTCATGGTTATACTGTCAATACATCCACTCACCCATGGGATGAGATAATGACCGCAACATTCAGCTAACATCCTATGTGCTGTTTGTACAGGATTTGATGTGAATACTTAATTGGAATTTCAATTGGATGTACATTTAAACAACACTGACAGCTTGTGCATTGTATGTTACGTTCACATGTAACATCATTTCCGTTTCAAACAGACAGACAGTTTATTCAGTAAGAAGGCCATAGGCCCACAATACAGACAATGGTTGATTGCATGAACTACGCATGCCAAGGAAGTAGTCGATTTAAGTTTCTCTTAGCCGTTGACTTAGATTGACTGACTGCCTGTGAAATAATGCGATTTACATATCAAATAATGAAATATTGTACTACACACTGGAGTGTTTTAATGTTTCGATTGCAGCTGAACACATCTTCTTACATCAAGTGATGCGTGCATGTGTAAGCGTTACTGTTATGAATGTACAGAAATGTTGCTCCAAGCTGTGTACAGTGATTAGCCCCTGCCTACAGAAACAAATACCTTGTTGGGTTGTGTTTCGCCGTTGTCAGACATTCTTTATGTATAGACTCAAAACACCAGGTACACTTCCAAATTTCATTTTAATCATCATATTTCATTAATTAAATAAAGTTAAGTTAGCGAGAAAATAAGTCAATTCTTAACATTAAGTCCAAAAATGGCATATACTCGGTTCTCTACTAACACGGGTTCGTCTATTCAAATAAATATAATGTTAGCCAAAAACATAATGGGAATAAGTCAGGCAGGGCAGGGTAACTACGGCAGTCTGTAATTTGTTGTCTCCAATCAAGGACCTTTACAACTTCAACTGTAACGGATTTGTTTTCTTCTCTCATGATCAGTGTACACACACACACGCACGCACGCACACACGCACACACACACACACACGCATGCACGCACGCACCCCAAACAAAACAAACAAACTGTCGTCATTGTTCCTGGCGTTGATAAAATACTTGGCAATTTATGAAGTCAATGTCTTGCTGAACTATGTACCAATCCAGATATGCAGAAAATTATCAGATTGTAGAGCTTTCTTTTTGATATTGCATCTTTAAATTATTGATTGTACCTACAGCTCACATCAAAAGGAGGGACCATGGTGATAGAAAGCCAGCTACTCATTTATGTGATTACTACATCAATATTGACATTAAGTATTGGACATTGCACCTGTAATTCTGTTTGTGTAACCTGAACATATTATTTAAATCACCTGCGCTAGAAACATACTTTCCGTCACTACGGAAGCAAGCTACATTCATGTGTTATTCAATAAATCTCAATAAAAACTGCGGATATTATTGTTTATATTGTTAATAACCATGTCTAACCAGGTTGGCGTCTCTGCGCAGAGGGTATGGTGGCTTAGCATTGGTTGTTATTGTTATTGTTGATCCATCGTCCAGTTATATAAGATTATATATATATAACTGGACGATGGATCAACAATAACAACCAATGCTAAGCCACCATATATATATATATATATATATATATATATATATATATATATATATATATATATATATAACTGGACGATGGATCAACAATAACAACCAATGCTAAGCCACCATACCCTCTGCGCATTATTGTTGATCCATCGTCAACTGGACGATGGATCAACAATAACAACCAATGCTAAGCCACCATACCTTCTGCGCATTATTGTTGATCCATCGTCAACTGGACGATGGATCAACAATAACAACCAATGCTAAGCCACCATACCCTCTGCGCATTATTGTTGATCCATCGTCCAGTTATATATATGGATCAACAATAACAATATTCGTTATATATACAGTCTTTAACGAATAAGGTCAAATTAAAAAGTAAATTGACATGATAAAACAATTAGTAAACGTTAATTGATTTTAATTAACTTGAGGAAACTACTCATACCATCAGTAATTAGTATTTGACCATCATTTACATACGCTACAACGTGCCCTTTTAAAAACACATACATAATTTAGTATCTATAGAGGACCAGCCCATACCATATTCTCATGATGGAAAAACTACTAGTATTCGAAACAGCTCTTCTTAATATTTGAGAGTAGATAGGCCCTAAGTTTATTCTTGTATGGTAACCATAACACACAATGCCATTTAGAAAGTGGTCAAATGTAACAAATGTTACATTTGGGATAACACTTTCTGAGTAAAGTACAGATTCTCGTACATTTTCTGAGCGCCGTCCTGGAATCGAATCCACTCTGACAGAGTGAGTACGAGAGTCTGTACTTTACTCATAAAGTGTGATCCCAAATATAACACTTGTTACTTTTAACCACTTTCTAAATTGTATTGTGCGTTCATAGCTTTCGGCCATGGGAGCTGTGCCAATTTACACACGTCAGAGGGGTACTAAAAGTACGTGATCTAGACTGCCAGTTATCGGATTTTCATTTTGTGGAAGCCTCGGTGGCTGAGTGGGTTAGATCGCTGACTTTGTGTGCTGGCGATTAGGTGCCTCACTCTTGCAGTGTGGGTTCGAATCCCGGAGTATTGTCGAATCATACATTATTCTTTTAATTGTTCGCAACTATTTTTACTTCTTAACTGTGATAGTCTAGTTATTATACTGTCCGTCGTTGACAGGCTTTTATTCATCTAAGTTTAAATTGTATTAATGTTCTCGTCACTCTATGGCTGAACTATTGCCGATGTGACGTAAAATTTTAACTCACTCACTCGAATCCCGGATGGACTTCTTGATAAATAATCATATTATAGTGTGATCTTATCTCGATTCCATCCAGTGTTCATGTAGTCTTTTCATTAAGTGTTAACGTAGTCTTTTCATTTGGTGTTCAAGTAGTCTTTTCATTTAGTGTTCATGTAGACTTTACATTTAGCGTTCATGTAGTCTTTTCCTTAAGTGTTCATGTAGTCTATTCATTTAGTGTTCATGTAGTCTTTTCATTAAGTGTTCACGTAGTCTTTTCATTTAGTGTTCATGTAGTCTTTTCATTTAGTGTTCATGTAGTCTTTTCATTTAGTGTTCATGTAGTCTTTTCATTTAGTGTTCAAGTAGTCTCTACATTCAGTGATCATGTAGTCTTTTCATTAAGTGTTCATGCAGTCTTTTCATTTAGTGTTCAAGTAGTCTTTTCATTTAGTGTTCACGTAGTCTTTTCATTTAGTGTTCATGTAGTCTATTCATTTAGTGTTCATGTAGTCTTTTCATTTAATGTTCAAGTAGTCTTTTCATTTAGTGTTCATGTAGACTTTACATTTAGCGTTCATGTAGTCTTTTCCTTAAGTGTTCATGTAGTCTATTCATTTAGTGTTCATGTAATCTTTTCACTTAGTGTTCACGTATTCTTTTCATTTAGCGTTCATGTAGTCTTTACATTTAGTGTTCATGTACTCTTTTCATTTAGCGTTCATGTAGTCTTTTCATTTAGTGTTCATGTACTCTTTTCATTTAGTGTTGATGTAGTCTTTACATTTAATGTTCATGTAGTCTATTCATTTAGTGTTCAGGCAGTCTATTCATTTAGTCTTCATGTTGTGTATTCGTTTAGTGTTAACGTTGTCTTTTCATTTAGTGTTCATGTAGTATTTTCATTTAGTGTTCATGTTGTTTATTCGTTTAGTGTTAACGTTGTCTTTTCATTTAGTGTTCATGTAGTCTTTTCATTTTGTGTTCAGGTAGTCTTTTCGTTTAGTGTTCCCGCAGTCTTTTCATTTAGTGTTTTCATTTAGAGTTCATGTCACCATCAGTTGACATGCATATAGTTCGTGTCGTATCAGGGTCTTGAGTGAATGCGTCACATTGTTGCCAGGAAACATGCGTTTGGACGGGATAAATAAACGCAGGAAAAGTGAAGTGAAAGGTGTCGACGGTTACTTTACAAATACACACAGACTCAAGTATAAAGATGTCACTTTTTTTGTTTATTCGTACCTATGATGTTTTAGTTAAAATATTATCTTCATTTCCAAATAAGCCACCACCACACCTCCCGCCCCCTCCCCGCATGATGTACCCCAATGACGTGAACAAAAACATTCTATCTTTGTAGAGAGAATAGAAACACATTTATCAGTGTTCTCTGCCATATCTGTGGCGACTAATGGGATCGGGTATTCAGATTCGCTGACGTGGTTGTTTCATGTCTTCGTATCCCAATGCATCACTGCAGGAAATGATTGAGGGAGCGGATGTATGTTGTTTGACCAGCCGATACTATTCCAGTTTTATCACTGCCTGTAAATAATTGAATCTTAGAAAGGCATACAAGAGGTTTAAAACAACGATCCACCCGTTAGGATCCCAAACTTTTAGCCAGGTCACACATGGAAACCACCCGATCCCTATAATTCAGATCTTTCCATTGAGTGAGTGAGTGAGTAAGTATGGTTTGACGCCGCTTTTAGGAATGTTCCAGCCATATAAAGGCACCCATGTTGGGCATCGAACCCGGGTTTAAGGCGTGACGAGCGAACTCCTTAACCCCTAGGCTATCCCATCGCTCCTAGATCCGACATTTGTGGAGAACTCGTTGAGTTTGGGTAGTGGATTTTTATGGTTCATTATTTACATACCTGGCAACAAACAGCGTTTGTTTTTTAAGAATATAAGGGGTCACAACATGCCGTGTCGTCGCTGTGCAGTCCTGTGCAGAGTTGCGTCCCTTAGGCTAACCGGAAACCTATGATTGTAAGTTCGAATCTCATATTCAACCTGATTAGGCGTTTTAGCACCATTTTCGTTCTTATGGGTGTAACCAACCTCGCGGACACGTGCTGAGGGCATTAAAATCTCCACATGGTTCATTTTTGTTGTTTCTGTCAGGTACAATTGATAATTTCATCAAAATCTAAAGGGTGAAAGGCAGAGGACAATTCACCCATGTCCCAATAAAAACTGTTAGGCGTGTAACATATGGACCGTGTAACAATAGGATGGATACAAAACGAGAAGCGCTGGAAAAAATAGAGGTTGAAATGTTTAATGAAGAGTCACATGATATATGATTTACATCACACTTTTGGAATAAAATATCTGTAGTAGTAGACATCAGCTCGACTGCTCAGTCATGGTAGTCGTAGTAGTGAGTATGGTTTTACACGGCATTTTTGCAATAGTTCAGCAATATCACGGCGGAGTAGCAGTAGTTGTAGTAGCAGTATTGGTATTGACAGTAGCAGTAGAAGCAGGCAGTACAATAAGTAGCAGTAGGTGTAGTAGTAGCAGTATTTGGTATTGATAGTAGCAGCAGCAGAGAGCACTAGTAGTAGTAGCAGTAGCAGTAGTAGTGAACAGAACAGTAGCAGTAGCTGTAGTAGTAGCAGAAGCTGTAGCAGTGACGGCGATAGTGATAGGATTCGTATGAAGGGAAGTTGCCTGAAGGAGTACTATATGACTGGGTCTGACTATAACACATCTATAACGTACTTTCACATTTAGTCTGTACACATGAAACAGAGCGAACATGACTATAAGTATAACAACATTGACTTGAAAGGTGTGAGGCAGGTGAAGAGGTAGTTCATCAGGTATGAAGCTGGCACGTGACTGAAGAGGAAGTCAGCGTTTTCTCAGTCTCTGTGTCTCCGTCGCGCCATCCTTGGTCTGAGCCTGGGAACAGAAACAAGCACAGAGTAAGGCCAAGTCGTCTGAGTCACCGCAATTCGCTGTGCAGGGTTGTGTCCTTTGACGTGCCGAACTTATGATCGTGGGTTCGAATCCCAGACTCGCCTTCATAATGACGCTTGGTTTGCCGCGTACAGGTCTTTCACAAGTAATCTCCAAGTCTGGGGTTCCCATGGACCATATAAGGCATCATTTTGCAGCACTGCTGAACCGGATATACAAATACCTTGTTTGAATATTTAGTTGAGTAAAAACAATTCTTGAGCTAGCTAAGTTCTCAAAACAGTGACTTTATTAAATAGTGTTGCGAACATTAGGCAATAAGTTCTTTACAAGTTGGCATTACATTGATGCGTGGAGCTCAATAGAAGTTGTGATTGACACTGCTTTTAACAGTATTACAGTTATATCACGGCGTGTCAGCTCAATGTTGGAGGAAAGTCCGAAGTGATGCAGGTCTGTGACGTTTACCACTTCGGTGACATCCACGAGAACGGGTATGATGCTGACAAACCTAGATACATAATCGGGGCGAACCGAGATTCGAACCCACAATCATAGGTTTCTGGAGTGCCCAAGGAACGCAACTCTGCACTGCGAATCGCGGCGCCTTAGACGACTGGGCCACCCATGCCCCCTCAATAGACGTAATCCTGATTGGGAACAACATCTGTATATTATCAG